CGATGTGACAGCATCCCGCAGTCGCTTGCAAACGGGAATTCGCAAGTGTGACGCTCTACTGGGTTTCGTCTGTAATCTTGTCTATCCGCTTTTGGAATCTGGCGTCAATTTTATTGGTCACTATTCGTATTTGCCAACACTCCTCCCCCCTTTGTTCTAAGCTCACATCGTGATTTCGCCCCCCCCCCCTCCGCGTTTTTTTCAGGCTGTCAAGCTTGCAGACATTGTACAACTGGCTCGGCAGGCTGCAGTGGACGTCACCTTTGAGTTACCCTTATAGATTGAACGACAGTGTCTTTCTCACCTCAGAGACCCTACCTGAGCTTCCATGTCCTAGAGTTTCTCAGATGCTCATGTGCCCACTATTAACTTGCTTATTTGCCTACTCAGGCCCTCACGCGGGCACACACACAAACATGTGTACACTGCTTTCACCGGATTCTTTGCAGAACAAAAAATTTCAATTTACTCTTAGTGCTCTCTGTATTTAGCGCTGTGCTGTGCTGAAATCTGTTGATACTAATTATTTTTAACCTTTTTCTCTCCTGTCTGTCTTTTTCTGCACTATTCTACACGACCAGAGGTTTCCGAGATGAGATGAGATGTCCCGTGCCATCAAAACGATATCCACTTAATTGTTTCCATCCAATACTCGCACCTCTGGCTGGCTCTTCTGTTTGTGCCTCTCGTATTGTAAGACCATCAGGTTAATTAGCGTGGTTTTTGAAGGGCGCACAGTGACTTCTCTGTTTCTTCTCCCCTGACGGCAACACAAAGCCCTGTATACGGTGAAGCTTTTGGTTTATCTGGCGGGCTTGATTACGTCGGTGCAGCCTTAGTGATCGATCAACGTGTTGTAAGTAGAGCAATTTTCCCATGGTGTGGGTCCAAATCTACAGTTTCTTCATCTATCCTATTTGGTTGGTACCTCTGTTGGACCCGATATAGCTCAGCGTTTGACGCGCGAACTTATTGACCGGAGGTCCGTGGTTCGAACCGAACCTCGACGGCTCCTGTCTGGGCTTGGGTTGTATCTCAGCCCTGGTGCTTCCTTCAGATGGCATGACAGCCAGGTACCTAAGGAATGCTACGTCCGAACGATCATCATTCATTCGTAGGTCGTGAAAACAGAAGCTCCTCTTCCAGCACAAGTCGAGTTTGGTCGACATGTCTGTGAACATAGCTGAAAACCTGGGTTTATATTTCCGAAAAACGGGTTATCTATGCAGTTCACATTCAACCCTGTGTATTCTGCACTGAATGGCTGAGAAAGAGCCAGTTTGTTTTCATACTAGGTAACAAGAAGGTTAAATCAGGGTATAGACAGTGTGCACACAGTTTCTATCTAACTTATCCACTGGCTTGTTTGTTCTCCGACGGTGGCCCGTATCCAGACCCTAGTAATTTAATTCTTTCATTCCTAGCTTCCCTTCCATTATGGTCCGCCGCTTGCCCCTCGTTGACAGTCTTCTGGGCGTAGCTGTTTTACGCAGTCTAGCGCGTTGTAGACTCTCCTGCTCACATTTACTAAATGAGACGTCACTTGAGCCGATCCCATACCCTTTTGCATGCTTCAGTGGGTTCTTTATTGTTCAGACACGTGGATCCTCTTGTTCCTTATGTGCAATCACATTTTAGTATCATGAAAGTTTTCCTGAGTTTTGCGCCAAAAGATTGATCAGTATGTTGAACGGGTGACTATTTGGGTGGCCTATAACCAGCATAGCGAGATGATTGAACATTGTGCAGGGGTGGCTGGAAAAACCTAGCCCAAATGCGGTCACGTTACTTTTGTAGAAGCCATCCATATCATTCAGATCGTTCAGTTGTAGCACTCTTTCGGTGCGTAACTGCCATGCCACAAAAAGGAAGCACGAGGGCTTGGATACTGCCAGTTTTCCCAAGAGGGAGTCGAGAGGCAGAGGTTGAGTTCGAACCACGGACCTTCCAGTCAGCGAATTCGCGCTCTAACCATCTATATCGCGGACAAAGAAAGACATCATCCATCTGCAACTGCCTTTCGGTCCCAAGTTCCCATGCCACACGAAGACTGCGATGATGCCAGGTTGCTCAAGGCTAGTCAGGATGCCGAAGTTGGGCTCGAACAGCGTATCTTCTGGCCACTAATTTTGCGCATTAACTGCTAAATTATCTCCAACTCAGAAAAAGCGTACTTTGAAAAAGTCACTCAGCTGTAGCACCTCGATGCCTAGCCGCCGTGTAACCTATCTCCAACTCAGAAAAAGCGTACTTTGAAGAAGTCACTCGATGCCTAGCCGCCATATAACCCGAAAGGTGCACGAGCACTGAGATACTGCCAGGTCGCCCAAGCCTAGACAGGGGAAGTCGAGAGGCAGGGGTCGGGTTCGAAACAGGGACTATCCGGCCGACAATTTCGTGCCCTAACCCCTGAACCATCTCGCCCAAGAACATATTTTCTGATTTAAATTGCAGCAAACCATCTCGCCCAAGAACATACTTTCCGATTTAATTTGCAGCCTCATTCAGTTTGTTTTCAGAAACTGTCCGAACAGCTTTAAATATGAGCGCCCGTTTTTCATGAATTTAACCCTAATTTAGTGGATATTTTGTCCCCCTCTCGGCGGTGCCTAACTTGTGGTGAACGATAAGATACTCTGTTTTTACAGTCTAGTTAAATGTGACGGAATCTGTGTAACTCTCTGACCCATCAACCAGTATGCCCTCCTGCATCCCATCGTTCGCATCTAAGAAAATAGCTTACTATGCGCGTGATTTACATTTTGTTCCCTGGAACCTGATACTTTGGCTCGTATCACGAGATCCAGGAGTAGTTGCATTCGGTCGAGTAAAATCACATGAGCACCAAGTAGAATATTCATCCTTGTTGAGAATCATCACGTCATATGACACCAACATACTGCGGATTCGCAAAATCGAACAATCTGAGATGAGGCGGAACGCGTATCTTCACGGGAACTTGGGGGTATACCTGACCAGTCGCTTGTAATTCACTGAGCATAGTCTGCAACCTCATCACTTTAATCGAATTTCACCTCTAAATTGGTGGTTCAGACCATACCAACAAAGTATAGCAACCTCATCCTTCAAACGATTGTCTTGTCACCATGCGTCTTCTAATCGAGCCACCTAGTTGCTTTTTGCTAGTTAAAACAGTGTCTATTTAGCGCAAATTTGCGTTCGCCGTGAATACCACCAATTTGACACTGAAATCAGCTGATGGTCGCTGAACCCAAGGTCACATACCTATCACAAGGAATCGGTGATGTTTACTTGCATAGTTTTTACGTAAAGACTATCCTAGAAGGGACGCAAATTCCTCGGCAAGGATCTTGGGTCTCGGCCCTGGTAATATAATGCAGAGCTTGGTATCTAAATTGGCATTTCTGACGTTTTTGTCTTGTTTCGCTGGCGACTACAAGTAATCATGTCATACGGCCAATGCACCATTGCCTTCTGCGATGCATCAAGGCGTGTGTTTGTTGGTGTGCTTCATTTTTGTGATTCCAAACTCAACCGCTTTATTCGTAATTTGCGTAAAGACTCGATGAGACATACCTCAGCGTTACATGAGAACGGTGTTGAAACGAGGGATCCCAGCGTATGAGGAACAGTTTCGGTGACTCTATGAGACGAACATACCGAGTGGACCAACCGTAGACTACTTGTGATATTTCAGTAGCAAATATCGCTGCCACTGTGTTGGTCCTTCTCGATTTCGTATACTTTTAAATCAACCACAGTGTTTGCAACAATGTGGATTTGTACTTTTAAATCTTAATGACCGAATATTGCATCTTCCAGTGACGTTGAGCTGTGGAAACCGGCCACTCCCTATCATGTGAGGCATGCGCATAACGTACTCCTGTGAATACGTCCGAAGTGAAAACGTATGCATCCATGTTGCTGGTAACTGCGATGTGGTACCTTTCCGTGAATTACGGTGACGCTGCGCTGAATTCCCACGCCTGTGATATCAACTCATCACAGTTGTAATCATCCCTCTATATGAGCTGAATATCGAAAACCTCGTTGCAGTTTGGCAACGCGGAGCCGCAATTTAGTTTGCTCTCTAAATGAGGATGTTTTCCGAAGGAACATCGAAAGAGGAAAATTAAAAGATACATCACTGCCATGCTTCCTGCCTATTGCTTCAAAGAGTGTGTTTAACGAAGCGGCGTGGATTTGTGGGTGTGCACCCCCATACGGTACCGAGAAAGTTTTCAGTAATATTCCAAAAGTTTGGTTGCGTTTTCTACTGTTCTGATTGATCGATGCTACGTGCTCGCTGTATTTATATGATCACTCCTGTTTCTGGCTAAGGATTTACTACCGATTGCAAAAAGTTTATAGTTGTTATCCCGCACTTCTTTTCGATTTGTCATGATGGGGGGGGGAATTCGGATCCAGCATACTTTCCTATTCTGGTTGTTAAGTTGCTCAGTTAGATAAACCGCTACCAGCAGGGAACCACCGAAATGTGCAGTTGAACGAGACTTAATACTCATAGCGGTGTCAGCATCGAAAATGCTGTACGATTGTTGGAGCCGGTTTCTCGGTCCGCACCCTTGGACCACCGAGGGTGCACAAATTCAAATAAATACCCAAAGTGCACCGTATATAAGGTGAATGAGGCGACAACATTCGGAAATTTCTGACAGCTTGTCGCGCCATTGGCAGCCAGCATTCAGCATATACTTAACCATTCATTACTCACTGTTGGTCAATCACAACTCGACTTGACCGGGAACAGGAAAGTGATCCGATCTTCTGGTCAATCGCGTACGGTCTGAGCTCCTCTGCCGTAGCAGCCCCAAATTGCGGAAAGGTAAACGGCTTTGACGCGGGATTTCGACTAATAACTTGCTAATATCCGTATTTACTCGCTGGAGAACAAGCCCATGATTGCTTCTGGAGAACAGGAGAAAGTTGCAGTCAAAATACAGAACTTGCTTTCTTTCAGGAACGTTATTCAATGTTGAGAAATACAGTCGAACATATGCACACGAACACTAGTGTTGGACCAAATGGCTTTCCGAGAGGCAATCACGTGTGGCATGTTCTGATAAGGTCGAATGGACTGTTCACCAAGGCGTTTTTTATCCCGACTAACCGTTATGCAAGAAGATAGAACCAGATATTATGAACATTTGTGCAACTGTCGATTCGATCGAGATATACAACAGTCACTGCCGGTGAGCAACTAATGTTTTTTGGCATTCCAAGTCTCTCACTTTTCCAGATGGGCGTCGTGCCATGATCCACGAAACAAACAAGAGGTAATATGATGGGCGAGATATTTCGTTCGCCATGGCATTATCTGGGCTGCAGGGGACACAAGGCATCTCATTCAAAACCGAAGCGAGCGCCAAATTAATTTGAACAAGTTTCGCCGGGACTTCGCAAGTGCACTAAGAAAGGCCACATTACTGCGTCGAAGTCCGCGCCTGTCGCCCCATGGTTTTCTGGGAAATGGTCGGTGTCCTCCATGTGTACATGTCTGAACCTGGCAATAATTGGAGCTTCCCCAAATCTTTGAACCTGAAAACTTTCCCACTTGACGCCCAGTTAAGAAAAAACCATCAAGTGTGGGGTCAAACCGGATAGGAGGCTTGTGAGGTATTCCGCATCCACAATACCAGCTCATCCCTACCGGCATATGTAATTTTCCCCGGAACCGTTGTGTGCATAATGAAACATTTTGCTGCACTTCTCTTTACGCCTGCTCAGACTAGATAGGTTCGTTCAGCAGCAATTCACGATCAGCGTAACCCTTATTTCATCAGTTGACTCGCCATCCTGTGTCTCAAGCCGCGCGTGAGTCGTGAACACGAGCCAGGCTAATTTGGTAGTTTACTGTGGGCAACGATTGCCTTATTGAACAATTTAAACCATCAGTTTATGATTGCACCTGGGTTAAAGGTGAGGCTTAAACTCAGCAGCTCAAGGTATACATCTGTAATAAAAATTCATATGACAGCTTCCAGGTACCGACTGTAGAACGCATGCTAGTAATAAAAATTCATATGACAGCTTCCAGGCACCGACTGTACAACGCATGCTAATTGAAGCCTTTAGTGGGGCGAAATTGTCCAAGTTGTTAGAGCGCGAATTTATTGACCGGAAGGTCCGTGGTTCGAATCCGACCTCCACCACTCGACTTCCCCTGTCTAGGCTTGGGCAACCTGGCAGTATCCCAGCCCTCGTGCTTCCTTCGTGTGGCATGGCAGTAGGCACCGGAAGGCTGCTACAGCTGAAGGCTTTCTTTCTTTTCTACTTTAGTGGAGGACTCCGCCGCCGGTGGACACGACCTGAATGCGTCATGTTTTGCACAAATTACTTTCCTGGGTTACTCAATGTACAAGCAAAGGTCCCGTACAACTTTGGCCAGTATTCGTGCCTTTTATCCATTTAATGCAATGGTGTGAGTACAACTTCCATGCTGAAGATAATAGTTCTTCCAACCTCGTGCGGATTAATAGAGATTATTGCGTGCACGGTGAGTCCCGCGCTCACTCATTCGTATATGGGGCACCAGATACAAATTTACATAGGGGGTTATCCTCTAAAGCATTTCGCGTCAACGAGAGCACAGTAGGCTGTGAGGAATCTCAGAAATCGTAGCTTCAGAACCACATAGAACTTTTGTACATTTCTGGCAGAATCATTTTCCGGTTTACATAGGGGGTTATCTTCTCAAGCATTTCGCGTCAACGAGAGCACAGTAGGCTGTGAGGAATCTCAAAAATCGTAGCTGCAGAACCACATAGAACTTTTGTACTTTTCCGGCAGAATCATTTTCCGGCACGCTGACGTGTCTGTGAACCCATTCACGAACAGGCCATAATTGAGAAACTACTGCATAGCTCAACTGCTCGGAGAACGAAGTGTGCCCATAGGAGATTGGCTCAGCAGGATAAATGTTTTGATTTCGGTTGGTACGCAAAACGACAGTGTACCAAACCGGCGGTTCCTTGCTAGCCTTCATTTCCAGATTTATAAAAGCATAATAGCTGAAAGGACAGTCGTATAACACAAGTCTCACCATTAATAGCACCGGAAACAATATCATTTTTAAGACACGCTTCACCACAGCAAACAACCAGCCATTCATAACACAAGTCTCACCATTAATAGCACCGCAAACAACCAGCCATTTGCAGCACAACGCATATACGTATCTGAGAACGCGCATTTCGAGTTATTGCTCCATCTGTCGATTTCGCTTCATATCAGAGGGGAGCGAGTGAGAAAACAGAGATCGGTACAGAGTGTTTTAGCGTATGTGGGCAAGATTTACAGTTCAATGTTAACTTTGCACTCGTTACACTAGGAGTTGTCAAATCGTAGATGCCCCTGCAATTATCGATGAATTTTCCTAAAATATTTCCTCCGACTGGTTTTGGACGATATTTCGCCTCATTTAACCAACATTCTCTCCCTAATTCGGGCGTAACATGAATTTACATCATTCTCTAACCGACCAGCAGGAAAAGTCTAACTTGTTTTTGGCGTCTTGTGGGTAATGCACCGATCAGAATGACGGCTTATGTGTGGATTGCGCGCCACCGTATTACAATTCAAGGCCTTCGTTGACCCTGAGAAAAGACACTTACCCAAGCAAATCATTCATGCAAAAAAGTTTCCGGAAAACTCACCGAGTGCAGAATTTCTGCTTGTGAAACGGCAACCTCGAAAACATTGCAATTTTGATGAGTCATTTTCAACTACCAGATACTGACTGACCCTACCAACAAACTAGTGGAACCGCCTCTTACGGCGCACACACCCCTCCGTTTGACTGTAATGAGCAATCCCTGAAGGGTTGCCACATAGCCGTTGCCGCCATTGGACGTTTAACCAGACTTTGCTCATCACGTGTTGGGAGAGGGGCCTGATGTCTTGAGTTTCCTCCAAAAGAGTGGCCAGTAACAAAAATTAGCTTCTTCAACAGTCACGCCCAGAAGTGAAATGTCCAGCTCCAAATTGCCTCAGCCCATCAACTGAGCTGCCTTCTGGAAAGCATCAATAATCATCAAATTTCCCTGCTCCAGTTCAACGCCGAAAGATCAACTAGGCACAAAAACCACTGCACAGAAAGGAGGATAACCTAGACACAGCCGTGGGTTGTCCGCTGCACGCAGCCTATTCGAAACCTTCTTAAACAGCGGAAGTGCCACCCAATATTATAGTTCCCAGCTCTATGTTTGGAGGAAATAAATATGTGGGTTTCGGATAGAACTATAGATCGAGTCACGTATATCTAACTTTCCTCTTCAATGTTTTAGTGACGGAAGGAACGCGATATGACGAAGCCGGTCCTTGAAAGTCCTCTGGTCGGCTGGCCAAGCCAACAAAACTTACGAAGAATGATGCCATACACGTCGACAACGGGAAACATGTTTTCCCAAGCTTTGAGAAGGTGACCTTCGCCCCAAATACCACCAGCCGCAGGAAGGATACGGGTACCAGTTGGTCAGCCGGCAGCATCCAAACGAGTAAGTGTCACCAAGACTGGCTGAAGGTAAACCAAAACCGGTCCTTTGGAGTAACCGTTTACTATGAGAAAGATAGACCATTTTTCTACCGTGAGTTCTGCCCATCTGAGGCTCGAATGCTACATCCAAACCGGGACCAACAACTAGAGGTAGGTACACCGACTTCCGCGTGGCTACATGCGTGAAGGCGGAATTGACGAGTGAGCAATTAACAATAAGGCTGACGTGAATAAACGATGGAGGAAGTTGAAAGGCATCTCAAAAAACAAAGGTTAGTTGGTGGGTCACTACACTTTCATAAACAGCTCGCTAGCTCCGCCAGAGTGGTTTGAACGAAATATGCTCTTGGCACGCTGACATGAAGCTGCTAGCGTGGTTTGAACGAAATATGCTCTTGGCACGCCGACATGAAGCTGCTAGCAGTGCTTTGGGGACTGGTGACTAGTTCTCTTACCCTTATCTTCTCTCCTGGTGCAGTCCAACTCATGCAATAAGCACCAAATTATCCAGTCTATCATCTCAGAAGTACACCTCCATCAGCCTTATAATTCTGAGTTCCTCAACCACGCCACAACTCTTCGTGCCTAAATCGGCTTTCACTAGATCCCTCGCACTTCAATGTTGTATGCTAGCGAACTCAACCATTGGTCGCTAGTACAAATCTATCCCTATCCTATCTGATGTAATCAATTGTTGTCATCATCCTAATCGCGGTAGCCGTCATGTTTTTCGTTCTATGTATATTAATGCATATTATCCTATCTGATATCTCCAAAAACTCACCGCGATTTACCAATCTCATCCCATCCCTTCATCTTCCCAAGCCTTGAACTCCTGCGATACCCAGTTTGGGCGACCCGGCCAATGATCCACATCCACAGGATCCGCAAAGGGACCAAAAACCTCCGACCGTATATCGGCCTAGTTCCGCCTTGTTTCCTTGGCCAGCCTGAGACCCAGTTTGGGCGACCCGGCCAATGATCCGCATCCACAGGATCCGCAAACGGACCAAAAACCTCCGACCGTATATCGGCTTCGTTCTGCCTTGTTTCCTTGGCCAGCCTGAAAAGAATTCCGCTGCTAAAGGAATCATACTCTAGCTCAAAAGCCTTAACCATGCGGTCCGGTACGGGGCTGCCTGCGCGTGGCTCACAAGTACCGTCAACTTCGGCATCCTTCCACATCGAATCGTACAACACAACAGCAACTTGAACGCAACCCACGTGACGAAATGACTTTAGCCAACCTGTCAAAACATCCGCCAGGTAGTTAGGTGGCAAATGGAGCTCTGTTTAGCCCCAACGACTGCCCATGTTCATTCTCGTTATATTTTGCTGACATTCTGAAATTTGGATCAGGCATATAATGCGGCAAAGAGGGATTTTCCGCCTGGCTCGAAATTGCATAGTTGCATGAAGAGATCAACTATGACACTGTGATTCTGTCGGTGCATGAGGCAGACCTTATTTTAATCCTGAAATGCTGTCAAGTTTTGTATAAAACGAACGCTTTTGAGAGGCTTTAAGTGTCTTTGTTTCACAAAAGCATGCCTTTACAAAAGAATTGGCCAGCCCCAGCAACGAGCAGCGAGCTGCCACGCATACAAATACGAAACAGCTGCGAGTTACACATTACCAGCTTTATTCATATTTGGTCACTGGAAAAACAGTAGTCTACTTGAAAAATACACGCGGCAACACCGTAAAAATGGGCCGAATAAATTGTACCTGCTAAAGGAAAGTAACAAGCTTATTCGGGATGTACTTATCGCTTTGGGCATGTCTAAAAACATCATGCCTTTTCGCTCTTCCAAACTATCGCGAGGACACAGACAACGCTGGCTTCAGCGTCACGACGGGCCCTCTACTTATGTAGAAGCCACAGAGGCAAAATCTTGCGACATAACTGTCCTGAGAAGGTATTACAAAATCAAAAATTACGGTGCACGTCGCGTTCAACTTGTGTTAAGCCGTCCAAACTTAGCGGAACTTGATTCACGCGAAAACGGTTCGAAAGTGGTAATTTGTCACCAGTGGGACAATCTGGAGTGTCCCATTTCGAAAAGTCTCCGCCATCGTAAACGATATAAAAATGATGCTAGTAAACCTGTTCCTCCTGAAAACCATTGAGAGCGTTATTTCAAGCGTGTGGAGGTTTTACTTCGTCAGGCAAAGGGAATACCATGAAACATCTTTAGCCAGGCTTAGTGAGATTTTCGCCAAGAATTTAGGGTGCATTGTCTCCTGGCCCCAGAGCACTCAAAGCGAACGTTCTGTACAGGATTCCACGAAAATCCCAATGATGAGGAAGAGTATGACCACTGGCCTCTGATAGTCCAGCTTCGTAAGGGTTGATGTGATGAAGATCTCGCGGCGGATGCGGAAATGGACAACACTGACTGCATGATGCGATCATCACTAATGCGGCCGTGGGTTCTCCGCTATTGTTCTCGTCGAGAAGGCAATTGGTTTACCGGTTCGGAGATGTCTTATGCACCTGAATAGTACATTTTCCAGTACATAGTACATTTTCCGCGGTGGTCCTATAGCTTACGAAGTGTCAGTTTCCAAAGTCATCATTTCAAGAATTGGTCGAATCCATCCGACAAATTTTCTTTCCTTCTATCACTTTTGTCTTTGGGACCAGCGCAGCATTATATCTGTGAATTTTCTAGGAAGCGATTCTGTGAACCACCATTAGCGACCCTTACAGTTCAAACTGATAAAAAAGTGTATGAATTCCCGAGATATTCGGAACTTCCCGAGGTGGAAGTTCCGAATGCACTTTTGAGGTTCAAAGTTCTTGGCCCAGTGACAAATTCAGTCCCAGAGGTCGTTGTGTCCCAGAGCATCCTCAAGTATTCTCAATAATAATAACAACAGGATAATTTCTAATCTGAGCTGATCGACGGTTGAAATGGTAGGAGAACCTCATCGGGCTATACACATTAACATACAATTGGTTTCATTTGATGGGCTGCTTCTGTTGCGTGTTGGGTTGTGTTCGAGTATGCTTTCAAGCTCCATTTCCATTGAGTTTGAAGTTTCTCAAAATAGAAAAATGTGACCGTAATTAATGATGGCGCGTCATTTGAATTTTGTCGGTGCACGGCACCTGTTCAAATTGGGCATGACATGGATGTCGACCGACCAATCACAAATAAGAGTGAGAAATCACCGCCCTTATTGACCAATCACATGTGAGCGAGGGTCATCGGCCGTTGCATAGTGTGACTGTGAATGGCATGGCGGTCCGGTCTTGGTGAAACCCATGCTGACTTATTCATCGCATAGGTACACGGCTTATCTTGAAGTGCCTCTTCAGACAATCAATTCTTTGTTTCAAATTTCGTTTCCGATTCGAATTTCAAACCCTGGTAGTGTTAAGTCACAGGTTTGAATTCCATCATTGACTCATCATTTTCCACGGACTAATCTAGCCTGTCTGCTCTTTTGACTACCATCGTATCACTGGTTTTTATTATTCTCCAGCGTCTCCCGCCTCACCCAATAGTGTTTTCGGCGCCGCTGGTTTGCTGTTTCAGGTGGAATGTAACCTTCTTTGAAGTTCTTACGAGTAAGATAACCGCTCCAAACTTTCGTCCCGTTTTTCTAATCCCTACCACTTATTCGAACTGGTTCAGTTTTGTGCCTACTTAGGGGTTTCATTGGTTTGCCCAGAATGAGTGGCCCTTGGTTTTGAGTTGCCTCGTGAGTTCTTCGTGTTGTAAGAAGAAACGGCGTAATACCTAAACACCTCCATTCCCTTTCCTCTTGTTCATCCGGTTCAAGCTGTTCTATGGCTTGCGATTCCCTCGGTACTGTTGATACATTTTCCTCTGCATAAAGCTTGCTTGGGGCAATCTACGAGGGACATCAATCCTCGACATTTTGACAGGGTCAAGTTATATTGTGAGGGCCACTTGTCTAGCAAGTGTGCCAGGAATCGGTGCTTATGGGGTCTCGTAAAGCAGTTCTTCAGAATTTCCTTCACCCGTCTCATACTCTTGAAATAAGTTAGTTCCTGAGACTTGAATTCTGTCGTTCATGCCCCAGGTACTGCCTCAATCTATCTTACCGTTCCAAAATCTTCCGTATTGTCCCCAGTGCCCACTGTCAATAAACGCTTCTTAGCCTGTTTCAGACGATACCCTTCTGTTTTTTGTTAAGGGATCTAAGGCATTACAAGATGCAAGCGCTTCGGTGATTATCTTCAATTATACAGGTTATAGTCACTGTATGGGCGAGTTCGTTCATGCAGTACACTTAATGGGCGCGTGCCGGAAACGGCACTGATTATGTCAGGGGCAAATTGGTCGCTCCAATTAGCGCGTTTTGGACGCGGCTTTGGTTGTATACCTATGCTCCAGCCATAGCATATTTCCACCCTATCTTTTCCCATGTAGCTCCATTGGTGTAGGAAAGTCTCAACTACCTATTCCAAGAATAGCTATCAACTTGATGTAGTTGTCGGACTTGATGCCGTTGGCTAAACTGGTTAAAATTCTGTTTTCCAGTGTGCAACCACGCCAGCAAGACCAAAGAGTGCAGACTACCCTCTATTTATCGCAGATAGACATGAACATAAGCATCGTGTTACGTTGCCTCCTCCTGGCTGAAATTAGTTGAACGATCGGAATGACTACATGGCAGTGCTGACTTTGTAGAAGACTCTTTTCGGAACACCTGTTGGACTCAGATCACCTCTGGCTCACTCACTTGCTGCTCGTTTCCCTAAGGCCAATAGGAAAGCCATCTACCAGTTTTAACCCTACCCATAAGATGCCCCCGTCAAATCAGTCTCTGAGCAACAGCTGAATAAGCAATTGTTATTCCCCCAGAAAGCTAAGGTAAATGGTCACTCGAATGAAGGATTATTCAAAAGTTGTTGCGTTATAAATCCGCTGCCGAGTGTTTATGTCTCAAAACAAAGCCGCGTTCAAATGCGAGGTATGTTCGATGGTGAATCTTGACAATGATCGAGGCAAGACGGTTAGCTCTATCGGCCTTATAGTATGGTCAATCAGAATTATCCTTGAAACAATGCTCGATCCACACCCAGGACTGATCAGGATAGGTGATGGCTGGAAAAGATCAAGGAATAGAAAAGCAGGCTTGGAACTCTCTGTGACAGTCAATCCATCAAGTCGATAGAATTGACATTCAGTATGACCACCGCGCGGGATACGACTCAGGAATCCGCCCTGCCTAACTGGATCCGTGGATCCGTGCCCGATTAGCTCACTGTGCTGTTTGAACAGATTCCGACTCATGTATAGTACAAGATGGACGGCGTATAATGTGGAGATGGCACAGTGTAAACATCACGAGGAACGCTGGCTTCGTTGTGCATGTTGCCCGCTGCTTGGGGCATCATAGACCCATCACATCAATGGTTGGAAGTACTCATCGATTTGACAATTTCACGCCTCTATTTCACGTTCTCTATCTTACATTGCCCGTCGCCATAAGTTACGACGCACCGGCACACGGCTTACGCTGGTTCGACTGAACTGGTCTGATTGGGATGCGGAGCACAACGATATGCATACTCCCAGCTTCATAGTGGAATGTGAAATGCGCGCTTCCAACGGAATGTAAAGTCAAGCAATATCCCTATTTTGAAGAGTCAAGGCTCTTTGTTATGTTTTTTTGAGGACGGAGGACAAGGGTCCGTTTACAGCCGTGGACCTCCTGCAAATTGTATGGAAAGTGAAAGAATTGCCAGAGGAACTGCTGTTACCTACTGTCGTTTCTGTCTTAAAAGGTTCCTGTGAAAACCGTCTGGGTGTCAGTTTGGTCACCGTTACCTCTAAGTAGCTTGCCGCTTCCATCCTATGCAGACCAATCAGCGAGATGGCTCAGGTTGTTAGAGCGCGAATTTACTGGCCGGAAGGTCCGTGGTTCGAACCCGACCTCTGCCTCTCGACTTCTCCTGTCTAGGCTTGGGCAACCTGGTAGCATCTTAGCCCTTGTGCAACATTCAGGTGACATGGCAGTTAGGCGCCGAAAGGGTGCTACAGCTGAAAGAGACTAATCAGCACTCGTAAGTAGTCTTGAAGACCTGAGATCCTTCTGTGTCTTGGGTGCATTGACTATATGTTTACCTTGGGACAACTTACTAAATATCGTCTATTTAGATCTCCTTATATCTAAAAGCAGGTTTTGACTTGGTTGCGCCCCTTTGTCGTGAATGCTCGTCAGCAGTGTCCAATAGATGAAAGTCCTTACTGGCACGGCGGTTTCACGCAACTGGTGACACGATTGTGTCTGTCCCGTTGTTCGTAGTCAACAGCCAAAATTTTTCTCCCTTTATTTGATTTCCGCACTCACTGTTCCTCTTCATCCTACACTGTTCACTGAGATGACCTGGTCCACCTGGTCACCGGACCTATTCCCAAGTAGGACTGTTCAGCTGAACTAGACACCTACTACTCCCTCTCTCAATACTTTGTCCAGATTTGTGAGGCCAACCTTAGCCAAACCTATCCATAGTGGCGGGTGGCCGCCACTGTGGTTTCAGACACCGTCGATATTGTAATGACTTACTGGTGCGTGTATCAGGCACCATGTTATGCTCTGAACGTACTGTGTTAAACCTTGATTTCTCGATGAAATGGGTGCCTAACTGCCAATATACTGGTTTGGTGAATTGGGCTGGTAACTTTCTGGCAAAACACTCTATACACGACGGTGCTCTCTGTCGAATCCAAAAGCCCACCACAGGTGTTCCCTAGACCGTTCTTCCTGTCTATCAAGAATTTCCTGTTTCTGGCTATATCCACGGTTATGCAAACGTGCAGCCATTCTCATCCCAAACACCTATTCTTCTCAAAGATCTGCATTATTTCATACTTGCTGTGGCCTAGCGCACTTCATGAACGCCGTCCTCACAAACGTCCATTTTTGGGAGTTCGTTTGGGTCAACTGTGTTCAGTCATGCTAACCCCATACGCTTCGTTTTTCTTCTGCCTTTCCTCTACAAACTATTTATGCGCTCCGACTCGATCCCCCGTATATCCTGTCCACTAGCTCATCATCAGCAACGGCAGCATCAGAGACTGCAACACTTCCGTACAACAACAAAGTCCATTTATTTGCACGTAAAATCCTAAAGTGGAAAGAGGAGAGAACGGTTAGTGAGGAAAGGATCTGATGCTCGTTTGTTCCAAGCGTTCTGAAATGTCTACACCAAGCAATTAGACGGCATGAAAGCCACTGACACCAATCAGCCGCCATTTCTTGCAATGTCCTCAGCCGAGCTCGGGGCGCCACGGAGACTCAATCCGGGGAGGCTGACTACACCGTTTCATACATTGTCCACCTCTCGATTTTCGCTATCCAGAACCAGGTGCGCAGGACAACACTCGTCTCTGTAGGTGATGTTCAATCAAATACCCATTTTTCTAATCATCTCGTCACAAATTTGTTGGCACTATCCGACGCCAGCAATCTTTCGGAGACATCAATCATCCAAAAACCGAAGACGCCCCGCGTCACCTGTCCGCAAACGCAATGTCTTGCAACCATCCGACAGTACAGCTCTTACTGTAGCCTGGTATACACCACTCTTGGAACCCATTAATATGCGCTTTTGAGGACACAATTGACGCAAATTAGTAGACGTGATTCTGGCCTTGAAGATCCGTACACTGACTAATACGACTACCGAGGTATGTAAAAATTTTCCACAGCATCTAGTGCTTCTTGAATTGCGTAAGACATGTTCAGATACTGCGCGTTCTGAAGCAATACTCTGCACTTTGTAGTGCAAGACGTGTACAGAAAGATGGTATGATGATGCTCAGTTCAATCAGTTGTTTATGCTTCACCTTCATGCTCAGAGATGTGGACGATGTTGTCTGCGTACACCAGATCGACAAGTTCCTCATCACGGTAACTGGTGTACTGACCTCACCTCTCTCGCTACTTTCCCATAGTAGTTCAGTTGTCCTAACTGGCCATGGTTCAAGTCTCTCGTATCACCATGTTTCAGTCCCCCCTTTCCTAGCAGAACTGTTTTTCTCATTTCCTCCCTGTCTGATTGTCTTTGGAATGATTTTCCACTTCTTCACTTACCTAAACCTATCTGCTACTCCACAACCGTGCTTCATGGATTGTTTGCCTTCCTCACATGACGGCATTTTCCTGCCCCAGTGACCTTTGAGTGGCTTTGACCAATTCGATACATGTCATTCCAACGTGGGATTCTGACTGTAAGCCCCCGTTCCTTGTGAACGAACAGCTGCCGTAATTAATGGAAAAGCGAATCCTGTGATATTGAAGGTGACTAACTTCGGAGTGATTATGAACGCTCAGATGCAATCGCTCCGCCGGTGATTGCATCCCGACCGAGTGTACTGGAAAGTTCGAAGGTTTCTGACTAGTTATTTTAGGGAACCGGACAGCTATGCATTGAAGGCGAAAGCTTTAGTTCACAAGCCTCACTGGATGCGTGACTGAGCCCTGTCAGCTAATGTCATTAACCGCTGGTGAGGTAGGTGCCGGGGTCCCTATCCAGGAAAGCGGCAGGTGTCGGCCCATCTGAGTCTACAGGTCGTTGCCAGGTCGTGGACTGTTACATTTGGTCGGGTTTGACACACCGACACCACCAAGCTTTCAATGTGCAACATGACCCCAAACTTGATAAGCCGGATCTGCTAATTCCTCAAAAATCTCATGCTACGTGCATGTCTGGATGGTGTTGTCTCGATGGTCCACACTATCGCCGTGGGAGTCTTTCAAAGATCGGCTTTATTTCGCCATTGTTTCCAGCGTCTACACAGTTGATGATGGTGCGAACGCCCACGGTTGCAGCTCTTATCCCAACGATCTACTCCCTCAACGATTTGTGACAGTCGGATTCAGACCACTCTTATGTTACAACTGCTAAGTGGTTCCTCGACATATCTTGATATTTCCCGCTCGTAGTTCTGGTTCGCGGTATTCAATGGATCCCGACTGTTTCGCTCATTCTTCATCTCTCTTGGCAATTAAACTAACAATTTCTTACCGTCTCTTCTTGTCTGCTCATGTGTAATCGCTGCGCATCCGTGTTGAACAACAACTTATTGCAATAAATCGCCTTTCAGTTTTCATTTTTCACTTCGATGAACACTTTGTTTCCACAGATACTCGTCTACAACTGGCTAGCAACTTCTTAACAATGTGTGACGAAGTGGAAGCCATTTTGTGATATACTTTCGAGCAGTTCCGGAGCTTCTTCAGGAACACAACTGGTTCGGCTGATATGCGTGTAAACGTGATGAAACCAGATCCGGAGCCAATAAACTACGCATCAAGTTTCTCAGAACAGTGTGATAGTGGGAGATTCAGCCTGTCATGTTCTACTGACGTCAAACCAAATGCTGTGCAAGGTTGTGAGTTTTTTATCCAGTTTGCTTTCAATATGAGCATCAATTTGAAGTTTCTGGCTTGTAGAGCCATGAAAAGGAGTCACGTTTTTTGTGCGATTAGTCCGAGATAGTATGTGGGGTTATCATGTACATGACTGACATGGCGCACAAGATTTTTGGTAAACCTACTGACTTCATTTCTGCGTCATTCATATCTTTTCAATGTGATCTTCGTTGACACGAGGCCGCACCACCAGGATGGTTTCTATCCTTGGACTGAGGCTGTTTTGTATCTGTACTGGGTAAAAAGTCGAATGCGTACTACGGAAAGAGATACTCCATGTTCAACAGTTGGAATGAGTCATGACTGACCGTTGGCCGTAGTCCAGTGAACAGTTATTTGCAGGGTTTTATTGCGTAAATACAGAATGAAGAGTTTTGTTTCACGGTTAAAAACCCAGTCTTCGAAGCCATGTTAAATTAAATTCGTTGACAGACGGGCATTGTTGTAGTATTTGTGATATTAAGAACGATCCCGTACTGAATCGCTAGTAAAATGAACTGTCTGGGCCTCCGTATATATTAATTTGCAAGTTTTTCACATGTCCACACGCCGTGTTTATTGTTGGTCTGTACCGGAGATATTGAAGTTTCAAATTTGAACTCGATCTTGCAAATCCACACCAACCATTGTACTTCTAAAGTTGTTTCATCATCACTGAAAGTCGTCAGCGATGCGTGCTTCATGCGTCCTACAAGGATTGCCACCGGGGAATTTGGGGTTGGAAATTGAAAGAGCCCCATAGCACCCTAGCCTTTTACGGGATATAAAATCAATCGTCCCCGTCAGAACAGACCGATCTATTGCTAACTAATTCTTCCAATGATGGGCCCGACTTCAGCCCAACGGCAACCGGATGGATTTCTCAGTGAGGTCGTCTTTGTGTAGAAGAACTTGGCGTTGTAAATCTTCCCAATGCCGCCTAGCTCGGGTTACCGTCTGTCTGTGTTTCACTAGCTACAATGGGTCAGTAGCTCATCCCTTTTTACCGGACCGATAGTGATTTGGGCAAATTCCTCTTATCAGCAATGCCGACTCGTCTACGTTTTCGCCTCCTTCATAGCTGGATTTTTTTGGTCCACTAACTCATCAATATCTTGTAGTCTGTTGTTATGCTGGAACTTTTTGTATAGAGTTTTGGGAGTTGCTTTTAATCATGTCCGTTCCTTTCTCCCTCACAGTAAAACCTGTCTACAGCGTGAATCCACAGGGGATTATTTTGAACAGCCAGTATAGGCCAACTCAGATAGTGGACTACCACCTGTCCGAATCGCCTGTGCTTCATGGAAGTAGAGAATCTTTGACACAGACTTATCATCCTCCTGTGCCTAATACCGTCGTTTCCAGTGTTCACGCCTTTCCAGAGCATACGGATGCTTTGGAAACGATTCAGTCTCACCTTTCGGCCTATTCGGCATCAGCGCAAAATGGTGCACCTGTGAATTTATCCGTTCAGACAGGAGTAATGATGGACGCAACTTCCGATGGTATGGCTCAATCTGCTGCTGCAACTAGGCCCAACCAGTGAGTGTAAACTGACTAGGCTGTTTTATCCACCTTCGATCAGATTATCTGTTGTCTATTCTTGCGGGAAAATGTGGTGCCGTCATCCAGGTGTAGCACTGTTTTGGTGTCCAGCTTCTATGCCACCCGAAGGAAGCACGAGGGCTGAGACATCGCCAGGTTACCCAAGCCTAGACAGGACTAGTAGCCGAGAAGCCCAGGTTGAGTTTGAACCTCGGGGTTCCCGGTCAGTAAGTTCGCGCTTTAACTACTGAGCTACTTCGAGCTCAAAATATAGCGCGAAAGGTCGTGTTGGCTTCGCAACCGTAGTGTAAACAGGCCAAGTCGTAAGACAACCAGAGTCAACAGTTTACGTCTTACGAAGAGGCTTTTAAGCTTACTTATCAGCGATCCTCCGAATCTCAGCTGAACTTTGCTGAGTACAACGGCGTGAGGAGAACTAATCCCAATGAAATTAAAGCAACAACAAACACCACTGACAGCCAGAAGTACAACAATGTGGGTTAGCTCGTGAATTGTTACGAGCTTGTGTAAATCATGAGCTATTCCTTTCGAAGAGGCGGTTTATCGAAGTTTAGACCAATATCTTTCCACCGTCAAATTTTCGTACGTGGTTATGCATTTTCTCCAAGCATCCGATCACTGCCTGGTCTCTGTAACACGACGAAATCTGCTAATTTTATCCTTCCAATAAATTTTTAGCGGGAGGTGAATCGCCAACCGCACATCGTCACCGAGTGATGGGGAATTCGCGTGCTATACGGCAGTTTTCTGCCAATATCGTGCCCTTAAATTACTTTAAAACAATGTCGGCTTCAGAAGGCATACCATCTTTGAGCGTTTCGAATGTACCTACCCCTGTAGCTAGCAAAACGACTGCGAATTTTAAAACAGTCGATATTACTGAGACAATACTTTCTAGGTCAGTGTTGAAATTGGTGATTCATTGTCGTACAGGCTCGACATGGCTAGGTGGTTAAGGCGCGAATTCACTGAACGGAAGGTCTGTGGTTCAAACTCAGCCTCGGCATCTTGACTGCTCCTGTCTAGGCGTGGGCAACCTCATGCTTCCTTCATGTGACATGGCAGGTAGGCTTCCGAACTTCGTTACTACTGAACGAAGACAAGCACGAAAGTGAAATAAAAAAACAGTGGATGGAGAAAGAGTCTGGTGCATTCCCGTTCGTCTACAACTCCAAGCTCAAGCAGGCAATCTGGAGAGAAAGTAACAACAGGGACTTCACCGAAACCGATTAGCCGCTGTTCCTTACAACGTCTCCAGTCAAGCGCATTTGATGCTAGTGAGAACCTCATCCTGGTAGGTAAACCGAACCAAGAGCGCCTAAACTCTCATTCGTACCCCCCCCCCTACCAATTCGTACGTTGTGTGCTTCACAGTTTGCGCCACTTTGAAGGGAGTATGGAAAACAGTACTTCTCTCGGTAGGCGATGATTCGCCATGCAGTTGATGGTGCTGGATGACTGAATCTGTGGCAGCTGAAATCAGCGTATCCATGGTACATGGTTTATAGTTGATAAACTAAACTAAACTTTTAAAAAATCGTTCAGCTGTAGCACCGTTTCGGTGACTAACTGCCATGCCACCCAAAGGAAGCACGAGGGCTGGGGTACTGCCACGTTGCCCAAGCCTAGACAGGGGAAGTCGAGAGGCAGAGGTCCGGTTCGAACTTAAGTTAACTGTACCAAGCAGCCAGTTGGATTCTTCCTCCCCGGTCGAGCTTGAACGCAGTTCATTCATTTATACACCTGGATGCGTAACGCTTAGTTGCGCGCAGAATAGCTCTTTCTCCCCGAGAGTTGATGATCGTTCCGGCAGATATTAACACCTTGGTTTCGTTGCGTTCTGATTAATTGTGACTGCTCACGATATTCGTTCACTTTGTTATCCTGAGCTCTTTAGACACATGGATTGGTGAAACGCCTGTTTTGACGTCCGCTTCAAGTTACCTCTCTGCGATTGTTGCCTGTTGCCTCTCGACTGGTGGTCGTGTCAGGGTTCTTTCGACTTAGATTGTGCCCAATGAGATAAGGATTCACTCTCTATCAATTTCCTATTCCGGAACGCTGACTCACTGCTATGCGAAATTGGAATACAGTGAATATTGACAAGATATTGACGAGATCATGTGAACAGAGGATCGCAGAGAACCTAAACTGGTCATTTTTTGTGCGCTTGGAAGGCGTTTTTGCCGGCCCAGGAGGTCCGAGAAAATGAGGAACAGAACGATTGATATGTGCATCCCATAGAATGGCCACCGTATCCAAATCTTCCAGTCTAGAATTTTTTGTCTAAGTAGAGAGCGCTGGACAATCGCAGAAAATCCCAGTAAGGCGGAGTAACGTCTCTTTGCTCTGTAGTGATGTCATTTCATCGGAGTTGCCGAAGGATAAGCGAATTGCAGTTTTGTGGACCAGTACGCGTAAGATCCTGCTATCCTGTATGTCTGAAAATCGGAATGGGGTTACTATATTCCACTGGGCTTGTTCCACAGATTACTGGCGGCTCTTCTGTCAGAACGGAGCTTTTTAGGGGTTATCGCGAGAGACAAGCGCCACTACCACGAAAGAAGGGGTGTTGAATGTCCTGTCCGGAGGGCTTTCTCTTGCAGAGGATGACTGCCAAACATCAATTGTTGCCTTCTTAATTGACCATCCAGGTAGCTACAGTTTGTTCTACGTCGGAATAACCCGGTATTTTGAAGCTACGTGGCCTGACAGAAAATATTCAGTATCAGTGTAGTCCAGTACGGCAGTGAAGCATCGGTGTTGAACGCTGATGTCATGCTGTCGCTGATGATGGCGATGAGTGCAGTTCAGCGACGGCGGGAAGTTCTGTGGTTCCCAGATTGTCATCTTCGGCGCGCTGTTCTTCAAGGTCATAATTTCAGGGTCATGTTCTCTATCGTTGAATGGTTTCGGCAGGCTTTCAATGAAGAGGTTCAGTGTGCGTTTTCCGCGGATAGTGTAGCGTAGACACAATTCCGATGGGGTTCTCTCAGTCAGTCGAAAGTAGCTTGAGGAACGGGGTACTTTTTGGGAACTACATTCGTTGATTTTGCAACGAAAATATTTTTTGCCATATATATGAACTTTGCCTATGGGTATCACTAATGTGTTTGGTCTCACCAGCGTGCATTGATCGGTTAGACTGTCAACTCTGAAGCCTTGAAAGGTGATTTCATTAATTATCAATCCAGATTCCAAGGTTCTGATACGGCAGTGAAGCATCGGTGTTGAACACCAATGTCATGCTGTCGATGATGATGATGATGATGACTAAGGTTCTGACACGTTTGTAACCAACCCTATCTTGTCACTATCCTTATTCGACGATTCAGCATGATCATACCTTTCGCTCTCCACTTCAGCGGGCTTTCCTCTCCCTCTATGAGGTGTACACGTACAAACTCGCTGTCACAGGAGCCTTTCCCAAGATCTCTTGCCCCACTCGGTCCTGTCGCTCCCGCTGCTGATACTCCCACTGTTCCCACTATCTGCGTTATTTGTGGAGACCGAGCAAGTGGGCGTCACTACGGCGTCGTATCTTGTGAAGGATGTAAGGGGTTTTTCAAGCGAACAGTACGAAAACAGGTCCAGTATGTTTGTCGGGGTTCTGGAGACTGTCCTGTGGACAGACGTAAACGTACCCGATGTCAGGCTTGTCGTTACGACCGGTGCATCTTGAAGGGTATGAAACGAGAAGGTAAGTTATCTGTCCCAATACAGCCTAGGTCTTTCATATTATCTCTTCTGTGCTGTTTCTTGTGGTCTCAAGTTCGATTGTCGGTAACTTGAACCTCTCTGTTAGGTAGCCTCGTCACTGTTGGATCAGTCGAGTTTTTTAACGAGTCCCCTTTACAGGGAACATCCGTGAGTTCAAACAAAATCGCGCCGTTGAGGAGTCTATTCTGGGGTAGATTTGGTCTTCTCAGTCAAGGATAATGTGTCCAGAGCTGTCGGTTACGTCCTTCAGTTTCTTGAGTCGCTTCATCTCCTAAGCTTAGTTCTTTCCAGCTGCGGTCGTAGCCTCCCAAGCTATCGTTCACGCCAAAACAACCACCAAAGGTGCACAAGGTATATTAACGCCCAAAATGAAGTCAGGAACACTCGTACAGCGCTTCATATATATAGCGTAGGTGACAAGCGGCATTCGGCCAATACTGAGTCATGATTGGCTTTTGGGTCCAGACTTTCGACCAATCAGATCTCGGCTGGATGCTGGACCGGCAAGCGTCCCGAATTTCGGGCCAATCTTGCGCGGGATGGACTTCTCGGCCTGACTGCGAGCGGCTATGAGGGATCCGTGTGGAGTTCCGCTTAACAACCATCTTTGTCATTCTCCTCTTAATCAACGTAATCATCATAACCCACGCTGACACTCTCATGTGATCACAAATCTTTTTGCTAACCTGCCACAACAATAGCTTCTTGAATCATCCAGTCAAACCGGATTGAAGCGGCCGGCATGAACACTATTAACATAGGTTAGCAGCAGTCGTATGTTGCAACCTCTGCAGTTAATTGCAGCGGTCTTGGGTGCACGACTTTGCGACCAAAGACTTGAAGATGCCCCAGGTGCTTTTCCCGAGGGTCCGTGTGTCACAGAAATGAGACAGTGTAATCTTTACTTTATCCTAGAATCAGGATGTTCGAGTTTAGTCATCTCCTCTTCTCATCTGACACAAGAGCTAGCGTGTCTTCTAAAATGCATAGAACTCTTAAGCTAGATCGAGATTTCTCTGTAGTTAAGATACTACCTTACGGACCGGGCCCAACCTCAGCGTTTCGACTGCTCCTATCCAGGCTTGGACAGTCTGGCAGTATCCCAGTCCTCGTGCCTCCTTCTGTTGGCACTGCAGCTAGGCACCGGAAAGGTGCTACAGCTGAACGATTTGATTTTGATTTGTATAACTCTCACGAATTCCGGTGCTAGTGGACTACGAGAAGCATGTTCTGGGACACAACTTTACACTTTATGGCGTCAAAATGGACTTTCTGTGGCTCAAGTGGTTATAGCACGAATTTACTGATCGGAAGGTTCGTGGGTCGAATCCAAACTCTGCCTCTCGACTTCCCCTGCCTAGGCTTGGGCAACCTGGCAGTATCCCAGCCCTCGTGCTTCCTTCGGGTGGCATGGCAGCTAGGCCATTGTTCTTTGGACGGTGAAAATTAACAAAAACAGAGAGAGTGGATACCCTTTTTTAGAAGAGTTTTCCGGGAGACCCAGGGACGATATCACACCCACGGGGGTTTACGGGTATGGCGAGCGGATTATATCCATCAACCTCTGAGGTGCGATCTGTTGTGCAGACGTGGTTAGGGGAACAGAGTGATTGGCAGAACCTACCGCGCTCTTGAAGCCGAGAAACCCATGGACCGTATGTCGCCTGTTTAGAGCGCTATTCGGATGCCTGGTTGTGAAAATCCACCCTATATGACTTTCACGCGGTCAGGATTATGTTAGTTGCTCGCAGGTCAAGGTTTGGTTTGCCACCATTTACCGGTCAAAAGTCACTGTGACAGTCAAACCGACATATCTGTGATCAGAACACTCGCTGCAGGTACCCTTTTTGAATATAGACACTACCACCGAGTCACTTCGGATGGATACGAATAAATACAGCTCACTGTACATCGAATTCGGGTTCACTCGACCCCATAAAACTAGGTTGCTTCCACATAATGCCTATCACTGACTCTGACGTTTGTCATTATGACGAGTGGAATGGTGGCATTCGTCAGCTGATTTCTAGTTGAGCATACTTTCTTTTGTGGGGTTTTCTTCCCGATGGACAGTTACGTTGCTCCTTCTTTTAAGTCTCACGACAGACGTTCGGATAGCTATTTCACTGTTTGTTTTCTACCGTCCTCAGCTGTTCAAGAAGAGCGCCATCGCTACACTCGTGTGAGCATTCCCAAACTTCCAACGCTAGATGCGACTGCCAACAACTCGACTCCGTTATCACAAGCTTCTTTCGTGGATCACAAACTGAGTGATGATTCGGCTTTTTCCGGTTCACCTTCTGTCTCGTTCCCTACTGGCAGTTCTGGTAGTTCTCAAAACAACTCGACGGAGGCGGCGAATGAACCGACTGGTCGACCTCTCCTCCCTCCAGTCACAACACTGACTTGCTTGCCAGAATTGACCTTGTCCAGTTTATTGGCTGCGGAGCTCAGCACGGACGCAGAACTTCCCACAACCGAAGTTGGTGAACTGGTCTATGTTGATATTGGAGAAGACAACATGGATCCTTTGGTTGTGATCCTTCACTCAGTCGAGGAACAATTGCATCGCCTGCTCAGCTGGGCCCGTCAGTTGCCGTGTTTCTCACAACCGTACCTGTCTGTAGATGATCAATTTTGGTTGCTCAAATCGGGTAAGCGTTTTTGCATCTACTAATGTGCGATTTTCTAGTAAGTTCATGCAAAACCATTACGTGTGATCGTAAGACAGGATGGCCACAAAATGTTTTTTTCTATAAAATATGTGACAGACTGAGTAAAACTCATTAGGCGTTGTGTTTATGTTTCCTTAAACGCCCTGGTTACGGAAGCCCCGTTGCTCCCTGCTGGAGTCCATCAACGGGGAAGATCGGTTACGAAAAACTTGGATTACTGCGTTTTTTACCCGGTCCGATTCCTGACGGTTTTTTGGTTGAGATCTATAGGTCTATCTGCATTGCCCCATTCGGCTGTGGTCAAACGATGTCGCGTATTCTGTAACCCACCCTAACCACTCAACCTGATCGCGGAAATCGCCGCTTATAACAGTATGTTCAAAAGCTGTGTCTCTTCTAGACTTGATGTTGGTATCATGTTATCACTGTTATTACTATCAGTACTATTACTAAAGAGTTGTAAGTCTGGTCATTGTCTGCAAAGTATAAGTGTTCCGCGCAGAAAGGAAAAATAATTCCACGAGTCGAATGGGCCTCCCTATCCAATGAGTCGCTACTCAATGAGCCATGAAGTAGACCACGTGACTGGAAGATAAATACCGATCTATCCTGTATAAGTTAATCACCTTCTTGAATAGGAGAGTGTGGACTCGGACCTTTCTAGAGGTTCGTGTACTCGTGCCGTGACCACTGCACCAGTAGTGACCCGAGTGGATTGGACATTGGAGGTGTACGATTAGGTCTGTTGTAGGGTCATCCTTGGACCCATTCATCCTTTGAGAAATTGATTGAGAATTATCAGGTCGCCTATCAGAATGAACGGATAATTGGGACCAGAACTGAGAGACAAGTCAGTTTTCACACGCCCCCATAACGTCTTTTCACAGACTTGTTTGTCAGACGCAACTCTTATGTTTTCTTGCTTTTAGCCTGGCCTGAATTACTCCTGATCAGTGCCGCATTTAACTCTATCGTTGTCAACGAAGGCCTACTTTTGGCCAATGGACGGCATTTGAGTCTGTCTACTGCCAGGCTGCATGGGCTAGGTCCTTTGATGGATCGCTTTCTGACGGAACTTGTCTCGCGTTTTCGGGAACTGGGTCTGGAGCGCGTGGAACTTGCTCTGCTCCGAGCCATCATTCTGTTTAATCCAGGTAAGCCTTGTTCTCCCCCTCTTCGAAATGGGCGATGGGTGGGGGGTTAGTTTTTCCGTTGGATGCTGCTAGTTTACATGTCAGCTGTTTCAGAAACAATAGTAATGAAGGTCAGTTGTTTTTAGCAAACTTCACCGAACCTACTGAAAATACAGCAAACAGCGAGGACTTTTCAGCAGATGGCCCGAACACGTCCGACTGAACGTGAGATAGTTCTCTGCCTTAGAGCATTTTCTTTTTGACCTAAACGTGCGTGGCTTGAATCTACTCCTAGCTTTTTCTATTTTCCACGTCGTCGGATTGGGCAACCCGTATGCAACCGTGCGCTTCCTTCGGGTTGTACCTCAGTTATACACGACTGGGCAAATTAAAGCGCTTCCACGCGTCCTCTTGTGTCCCGTCCAGAAGGCAACAATATCATTTCAATGTCTTGTAAGTTATGCTTGATGCGAGACGGAATGTCACTTCTGAGTTAGGGTGTAACTAGTTTAGATGATCGGTTAGACGTCAGCTCAGACATAGATTGCCTGTAGACAGAGAGGCCTAGTGAGACCCGGAAATCCGAGATATAGGAGAGACTAGTGCAATCTGGAAGCTGTTTCAGTCGGTTGGCAAAACAAGACCTAAGGTGCTCTCTGTTAGCGAGCCTATCGAGGGTAGTATCGAAAACCCAAGAACAAAAATCAGTATCTAGATAAAATAAATCGTTCAGCTGTAGCACCCTTTCGATGCCTAACTGTCATGCTACCAGAAGGAAGCTGGGATACTGCCAGGTCCCCCAAGCCTAGACAGGGGAAGTCGACAAGCAGAAGTCGGGTTCGAACCACGGACCTTCTGGTCAATAAGTTCGCGCACTAACCACGTTGCAGTTGTCCACGCATTCCCGTTCGATCTGCTCACTTTCGGAGTTTAGACCGCGATCACTTTCTGTGATACTAATATTCCTTTCTACTTTGAAGCGTTACCGTGTTGCTTGGCTAAACGGAGGTTGTTCGTATTTGCTAGAAATTAGAAAGTCTTTCAGAGAACTGAGGTCAATCAGTCGTCGAACCTGTTTTAAAAACCATAACCGAACCGACCGTTTAACCATAGAGTTATGAGCCTCATGCCTTAATATCCGGACACCTAAATTCAGCACGTAAGATGCAAGAAAGCATGCAAGAATTTTACCTGCTAGGGAACAATATGACCTATCTTCACATCGCGTCACGTCCTTGAGTGATACACTAGAATTGCTTTAATTTCGTATCGAATTATTGTCTACAAGTGATATATATATAGATATGTATATATATATATATATATATTATATATATATATATATATATGTAAACATTCTTTGCGTCGTTCGTTCCCATAGCTCCGGTCGAGCTGAGGTTCACAACGAACTATCCAAAAGCCTTCATACCACTAGTCCTCTCCTTTTTGTCTACGTTTGTGATCGAATTCGAAAAACCGTCAATTCAAGCATCGAAATCATCTCTGGATAAGTTTTCATGAATTTGGATAATGCGGACAAATTCGGTTCGTTGTTTGACGATTATCTGTCCACACAGAATTGGTCCCATGTTTCGCCAAGCGTTTTGCACCGTCGCTGTGCAAAGTTTTATGTCAGGAGTTCCCATCCCATCGTGCTTCTCTGCGACGAGCTTGAGGTTTTGATCGGTTCACATACCTTGGCAGCCGCATGAGCCGTGACTGGACTGTAGCAGATAAATCTAATACACGACTAATCAAGGCGCGAGCATCGTTCGCGAACTTGCATCATCCATGGCGACAAAGGTCCGCGTGTACAAGGCAACTATAAGAGCGGTCGTACTCTATGGTTGTGAGACTTAGCCCCTCCGATCTGAGGGATCGACTGTGACACCGTTTCGGCGCCTAGCTTCCATGCCACGCGAAGTAAGCATGAGGGCCGAGATACTGTCAGGCTGCCCGAGCCTAGACAGGAGCAGTCGAGATGCTAAGATCGGGTTCGAACCGTTGACCTTCCAGTCGGTAAGTTTTTGCCTTAGCATTTTAGGCTGAAATGCTTGAAGAAAGAGTTAGCTGGCTGCAACGAGTACGCAACGAGGTTATACGCAAGTGGGGACCTAGAGCAACAGATTACACTCAGGTAGTTGGAACATGTATTACATATGCCCAAACCGAAGAAGACGTTGTTTTCCGCCAAAAACCTTTGTTGGCGAAGTAGTCGCTTCAAATGAGAGCGGCTGTAGTCAGTCTAAGTGCTGTGGGATCTTCGTGTCTTCATGACTGAGGTCAACGCGATTTTGTTTGCACGTGGCTGGAAACCTTGCAGGATGTGGCACGCAGACGAGTCCAGTCGCATGTATGCCATCATTCCCTTATCAGACTGCCTAGTTTCTCTTGTACGCTGGGCCTATGTTGGGTGAGGTTCTGAATGAATCTCGCTATAGTCACATGCGTTTATGTTGTTCCAAGGCTGCAAGCGAGATGGCCGAAGTGGTTAGAGCGCGAATTTACTAACCGGAAGGTCCGTGGTTCGAATCCGACCTCCACCACTCGACTTCCCCTGTCTAGGCTTGGGCAACCTGGCAGTATCCCAGCCCTCGTGCCTTCTTTGTGTGGCATGGAAGCTAGGCACCGAAAGGGTGCTACAGCTGAACGACTAACCACTGAGTCATCTCGCCTGGTGAATAAACAAAAGGAGTCGGGGCAAATGATCAAACTACCAAACTAAATCAAGCCTATCTACCTACCTAGACATCCGATAGTTCCATCCAAACCGATGTAGTTGAGGTTGGCTTTTGCAGCCCGGACATACCGCTCGTCTTCCTGGGTCCAATCGCGTTGATCGAAGATCTCCTTTTGTCGAAAGGCACTGTTTTGGGCACTTTTAGACGCATATTTGGACGAGGGACCCGAGCAACGGATAAAGTAACCGGAAGCAGCCACTGACCATTACTCTACTGACCTTTATAGTTCGCCAATCTCCCTCTCCCTTCAAAGGATATCGAGTGAAATAAGCCCTTCGCTGCGAAGTAGTTTATTTGCAAACACGAATCAAGCATTTGCAAATCACAAGATAGGAAGTAGTCTTTAGTACCTGAGCATTTTCACTTGTCCTCTCGAACTTTCCTGGATATTCATTGACTATTACGCAATACTAAACAAGCACTGTAAAGCGGTTCAATAATTTCTGCAATAAATGTCACCTTCCATAGGATGTGGGGCGAAGTGTGGCCACTAACCATAGACTACTTACATGGTTCATCAGTAATACCTATCGTTGCAGGAGTATCCCCTTAGGACTAACGTATTGCCCAGGCTGTGCACCCGAGACGGTCTTTCTTTGCATTGGTTTGGGACCTGTTTTACGTGGTACGTGAAACCATTGTGTTGCTGATTGACATACCTCTCTCATTTGTCTGTTTTTTTTGTTTTTAAGACGCAAATCATCTCGTTGCTCGCACCCGCGTTGAATCCATTCGAGAAAATCTCTACGCAGGTCTGCATTCCTATTGCGTCACAGGTCACGCGAGTGACACTTCCCGTTTCACAAAGCTTTTATTACGACTCCCGCCCCTCCGATCGATTGCGCAAAAGTGTTTGGAACATTTGGTATTTGTCAAATTGGCCGCCGAAGATCCAACCAGCCGTCGCCTGATCAATCTTGTCGAACATGGTGTGTGGCCATCTCGTGAACAATCATCACAGTCTTTCGAGCCAAACGGAAAAATGAACAATATCAACCTGTGACCACCAGAATCATCTGTAGGACGCGATTGATTTGATACCGTCTCAGTCCGGTGACCACTGAGTAATCAATCGGTCCAAACTCCACTCCATGCTTTGCGCTGTCGAAATCCTCATCAATAGATCTCTTCACATTGGGAACCGCTTTCTCCTCTCAGGTGTAATTTTCGTATTTACCGTTCCTTCTTTTTACGATAATTTTCAAAGTGAAATTTGTGGCAAAAGAATAAACTTTCTTAAATTTAGATGGTCACTCTTGTTGGGCAACGCCTTTGGAGGCAAAGGGGGTGGGGGTCACAACGTGTTTCCGCCTATAAGAATGGTCAAAAAAGGCCTTATCGCATCCGTTCTGCATTCGGTTAGTGAATATTTTAGACTTCGTGTAAACTAATTGTTCCGGATATTCAATACGTTCAGCACAACATGGTGAAGTTGTGAACTGGTCATTGACTCCCGTCTTCTTGATTATCAGAATATAAATCCCATTCAGCTGTAGCACCCTTTCGGCGCCTAGCTGCCATGCCACACGAAGGAGGCTCGAGGGCTGGGATACTGTTAGGTTGCTCAAGCCTAGACAGGGGAAGTCGAGAGTCAGAGGTCGGGTTCGAACCGCGGACCTTCCGGTCAGTAAATTCATGCTCTAACCACTTGGCCTATCTCGCCCCCTTCGTTATCAGAACCTGGTGGCTAGGCTAATTTAAGGACAACCAAAAGCGATATATCATCATGAAGACTTGTAACAGAAGGAACAAAAATTGTTGTGGGAAACCAGAATGTTTCAGTCTTCTCGGAGGCTCCGTCTCCTTCCAGCTTACGCGCTTGCTAAGTCATCGATTTGAGCTCGAGATGGCTCAGTGACTAAGGCGCCAACTTACTAACCGGAAGGTCTGGGGTCCGAGGCTATAAGTTCGGCACCTTGAATTCTCCTATCCAGGCTCGCGGAACTTGGCGGTATCTCAGACCTCGTACTTCGTTCTGGGTGCACGGCAGCTCGGTATAGAATGAATTTCATACCTTCATAAAGGAAACTACTCACAAGGTTGCTGAAAACTCTTCGACAGCCGGTTTCGCCCTTCTTGGGGTTCATTAGGTAGGCGCAGTCCCCGAGTTTCCTTCAAACTTATGTTCCACTTGAACCCAAATTGGACTGATTTCGAGAAGCACACTCATTTGCAAATCAATCGGTTTTCTCGAGAGACTCAACTGATATATGGGTTCAAGTAGGTTGACGGAAACTTGGGGACTGCGCCTACCCGGGGAAACCGGTCCTGGGCTGTCAAAGAGTTTTCAGCAACCTTGTGAGTAGTTCCCTTTATAAACTATACTGTGATATCTCGAATATCGTACCAACTGAATCATGAGGCGGCTATGAGGCGGCCTGTGTGCAGTACATTCAGTTGTAGAATATCATAAACGAGGGAAATTGATTTGCAAATGAGTGTATTTCTCGAAACGTTTAAAGCTTATTTACGGTGGTTAAGCGCCAGTATGTATTTGCGGTTTATTTCTGTCAATGGTAATGATGATAGCGACTGACTTCCCGTAGATGGGGAGCGTATATTGAACCTCGGGGGACGACGTACCGGGCAGTTGAACCACTGAACTTTTGTGAATACAGAGTTGAAGAACTGTTGGTCTTTATATTGCTATTGGCTAAATAACCGTACATAAATTCCTAACTATATTTGAGTTCGCGAAACCTGCTCCGATCTGAAGAACCGTAGCTCCTAAAAATTGGTAATCAGTACATAGTAGGAGAGAGTTGGCTGCGACCTATCCGAAACGGCTCGATGCATCACCAATCGCCTGATAACGAATGACAATAGATGGCACCCAAGCACCGTCTACCAAAGAATGGGGTGCTTTCTATTCAAAGCGAAACGTTCACTGGAGGGGATGGCGATACGAAACGAAAGCAACTGGAGTCACATTGGGTGCCGTGGGATCTTCATACTGTTCTGCTTTGTACTCACGTGACCCTTCTTGCATGTGATAAGAAACTCCACCAACCTCAGTGGTGGTCGTCCAGTCTGCTTATTCAACGAAGCCAGGAAGACGGTTGGTCAGAGAATTCGGCACATCTCCAATAGGTTCTGTCGACTTCACTAGTCATGTGACGCATCTCAGCTGGCTGTCTGGCCAGAATATCTGTTCTTACCAGACAAGAGACCTACAGTTCTGAGTTTGCCCCTTGTCTAGGCTTGGGTAACCCTGCAGTATCCCAACCCTCGTGCTTCCTTCGTGTAGCATGGCAACTAGGCACCGAAAGGGTGCTACAGCTGAACGACCTGCTCACACCTTGACATCACAAGTTGAAAGTCTAGGCTCGCGACTGGTCCTTTCGAGATGTGGATTCCCTTCTACCCTGTATTGTGTGCACCCAATGAAAGCACAATTCCCAATACCAAATTACCTCACGCACAGAGTCCCGATCTCAGCTATTGGCTCAAAACATGTGCCTCAGTGGATGGGTGCAAAAAAACGATAGTACGCTTGACCTTGCCGTGGGTGGAGAACAACTGGGGAGACAAACCGAAACGGCGTTTACTGAAAAAGTATGACATCTAAAGAAAAGTTTGACAGACCAAACCAATCGTCGTCTCTTTAGATTGCTACTACTCTGATTCTCTGAAAAGTACAACGAGACCATTCGGAAATCGATAAATCATAATGGATGTTACTTCATCCTGCTCCACTCCGTCCACCGCTGTAACCGAATAAGTGTCCCTGACTCGATCCGTAGTCTTAGCAGTAACCATGTTTTAACCACGGCAAACTTGTGTGTAACACAAGGTCGCCGAAAACTCTCCCGCATCTCACCACGGGTTTCGCCCTTCTTGGGGCTCATCATAGGTCCTCGAGTTTGCTACTCAAACCGGAATACACACATTTGCACACTGGTCGGGGAGACTCTGGGACAGCGCCTACCTGATGCGCCCGAAGAAGGTCGAAGCCGGTGGTGACACTGAAGAGTTTCCACCATATTTTCTAGTAAATGGTAAAGTGGAAACTACAGTTTCTCTGTGCGAAATCCGAAAGAACTGTGTTTTCAGTTTAAACGGCGTACTTTGCAGGCTAAAGGATCATAAAGCCAACTACGTTAGATTAGGTTGTGTCCATTTACTTTAATTCGATGAGATGCAAACATTTTATCTGAGAAATTTTTAATCCAGATTTTGGTCTTCCTTACTGAAAATATGCAACCGTATCGCGAAACTCTCAATGAGCGGAGGGCTGAAATTCTTATTGAATATCATCAAACGTGTTCGGCGTGGTGAGATACTGTGCAATTTGGTAATAAGTTTCACAACCGGTGCTCGCCAAACAATTTTTAGAGTTTAACTCCATCCGTCAATCTGAGTCATGGCACATGTTACCTTGGACGTATAACCCAATTGCTGGAAAAAGTCAGAATCCTTTCTGAACGAGCGTCGGTGGCTATTTGAGTATATTGGACTCATTTGGTCAAACTGTCGGAATGAGTTGGCTGCGCCTCCTTTGGGGGATTTTATCCCACGAACGTAAAATATCTGTATAATTGCATGCGACCATTGGGCAGAAGTTTCGTTAGATAAAGTAAGTTGTCAACGAATAAACTAAGCTGGAGCACAAACAGACGCGGACAAGTTGTATCTTCTCCATTTTAAAAGTTACATTTCCTAAAAAATACGACCCACAGAACATGGGCAACATTTCTCGTCGGCACGAGAGGCAATTGCTTACTTCATTGCCAGGTATGAAAAAGACTTTGTGACAGTTTCCACAAAGCGTAGATTGATGGCTTACTTTCAGTGTTAACCAACTGACGTACCCAACTACGCCAGTGAATGGTCAAACGACCAAAGCATCCCGTTTTGGCCTAGAAACAGACTTCCTTTATTCATGTGTACTTCATAACTGGAGTAAACGAAGTAATAGCACGAAAATGGGTCTTTGTACGAATAAGCCAAATGAGCTCACTGATGACCATGTCACGCACCAGAAATCTGATTTGTCCGTAAAAGCATTAAATACTGACAGTGGCGGTGAACAAACAACTCATTTCCTTTATTACTAGGATATCTGTGCAGATGGCAAAGATTCATTTTTGAGTCAAATCAAATGACTACTGACTTCCCAAAGGCTGTTGGTAACAAACAACTCTCTATCGACGCAAGGTGTATTTCCTAGCATTGTGGAATGTCCCATTAAAATATACCACTCATGGAGTAGGTCAAAACTAAAAAATGTAGTCTGAACAAATTTTTACTTAATTCATCTGTACATCAAAAGCTAGAGAAATAGAGGGTGAATTCAAGCATGAACTGAATGAGTTCACTTTCTGTCACCCTGCAATTTATGTCAAACCAAGATGGGCTTAAATTGTAAAGAATTTTCAGTCCCAAGAATTAAGTTTTTACTCTCCAAAACGGAGTGCAAACTTTGGTACCGTTAGAGAAGTGTGCGTTTGCGAACCAGTTGGGTTTTTATTGAAGATTTTAAATGGAAAGGGTTACACATTGTTTAATAATAGATTATAATATTGTCTAGTTTAGTAAAAGATTTCACCATGATTAAGATAGCGCAAGAATCGGACACGCGTAACTTATGCTTTGGTGGGTATATTTCACTATTTGCGGTCGGTGTAAATGTCTCAGTGTGGATACAACAAGCTTACTGCCGAATAAAACAAGCATGCTAAATAACTGGACTCACCAAATACTAAGGTGCACAAATTTCGCAACTGCTTTTATCTACTGTGAATCCTCACTGAGGTTACACAAATGCGCATTTAAAAGAAAAATAATTAATTGGCTGTAAGAAACGCTGAAGTTTTTAAGTTTGAACCTGCTGGATTTCATCATACTTCTCATTTTGATGGGACCTCACTGATATATGCCGAGTAAGGCGTTTGTTTACGCTTGACGCTACTAGTGAAAAGGTGATACTACTGATGGGGAAGAATGCGAGTAGTATGTTTTGTCTTAACTTCGGTTTGCGTCTCTTGAAAGGGGGGTCTGTTGCGGAATTTGTGGAGTTGCTTTGTGGCATTTGCTTGGGTTTGAGCAACAGACAATGAATATCTAGAAAAGTTCAGGAAGACGCGTTCAAAGAGAGGATGAACATTCAGTTTTTTAAAAAAAGATGCATATGAGAGTTTTGCTTGTCCGTCCAATAGTCTGTAACTGTTCATCTAATAAATAACCCCACAGCGAAGGCCTTCTTCCTTTCACCAGTAGTGATCCACATAGTTGTTCGCAAGGCCTTCTTCCTTTCACCAGTAGTGATCCACATACCAAGTTGTTCGCCTCGAACTACCGTGTGTTGTTCACAGGCTACTGGCTAAACACGCTCACTTACCGCGAACTATATGCTTGTGAGTTAACACACGGTTCTGTGAAGTGCCCGTGCAGTTTCATCGTTTCGTCCACTCTCTGTATACATGGAGGGTGGTTTGTTCGAATGATCAGATCTAGTGACTGAATCGACGGATCAATGTATGCCGAACACCGTTGTGGGAATACCAGACTCTGATGGGGGAAAAGTACGGTAAGCAGTGTACTCACGAGGCTCGTAAATCCTATTGTATCGTACTACTCATCAGCGGAAATCCGCATTCGAATATCTGGCGGGGGGACCTCCGAGTTTGGTGTCGTATCAAAGCCGTCCATTGCTATCGATTCTCTTTTAATTCAGTGGGCAATTGAGGGATACTTTGGTGTCCAGAGGAGTCCTGAAACCTGCATCATACCCGACTTAGCTGATGATATTGACGAGCTGGAAGGTCTTCGACACGTGCCCAATGCGTAGCACTCGCAGGGCTAGAAATGATTACTACAAAGACGAATTCTGTAGAGACCTCCGCATAGACGATGAGGAAATCGAAGGTTGCTGCAGTCAAACACTCGGTTCCAACAACTTTACCAGACCGACAAGCGAGGGAAGTGTCTCGCACTGGATCGAAAAAGCCGGATGTGCAACTGAACAGCTCACTGTGGAGAAGAAATAAATAAATTCCGGTTGCGCACAAAACTTCAACCCAGTCGGAATTCGCATCTGCGAGCTGAGGCCTCCACGAGTAGGGGATGTTTGGAAACTAGAGATTTATGACCATGGTGCGAATAGGAAAATTTTGGAATCTGGGAGAGTATCGGACGACGAGATCCCGAATAGTTGTTGCAACCTACCACGGCTACCTCGGATCCTTCAGGGACGATGTATACAATGACTTGGGCATCGAGTACACAAGAGACGGAAATCTTCGAATTAACCTATATCATGCAAAGGAGGAAAAGCTCCAATTTAATGGTGAATGTGATTTCTTTTGGGTCTGCTGTTCTCTATCAAGTTGCGAACCATCTCCTCGTGGTTACGCGTCTGCAGCGGAATTTTCAGGATTGTCCCAGACAGCAAGTACTTTGATATCCGCAATAACTTTGTGCACTTTATTCTAGCTGACGGCCAACATCTTCTCCAGCCATATCACGAATTCTTCCATGCGTGACTGGCATTCATTGGATCGCCCTGTTCTCACTCGACGAAACCGCAGTAGCAAGAACCTGTACATCTGAACAACTAAATGAGAGACGGCTTTTAGTTAATCGTCTTGAACTTCACGTGGTTGATAAATGACCAAAAGAGTGTAAGAGCCTCTGCTGCTCTAGAGGCTGAACAGATAGTTCAGTGGTTAAGCCGAGAATCTACTGACTGGAAGGTCTGTGATTCGAACCCGACCCTGGTATCCCGATCGCTAGGCTGTGTAGGTTTGGGCAACCTGACAGTCTCTCAATTCTCATCCTTCCACCGGGTGGCATGGAAGCTAGGCACCGAAAGGATCTTACAGCTGAATGATTTTTCACCCACATTCACCGAAATGCATTTCAATAAACCTGTTAGAATTCAGTAGGAGGGATCAATAGTTTAGTTGTAGGGTTTTGCGGGATAGGTGTTTCGCTCATAGCCACACCATTCTCGTTTGAAAGGCCGTGTTCCTGTTCTGGCGTAATTATTCCGGTGAGTCCACACCAAAGGGAAGCACTGAACTCGAGTTTCGCTCTTACTGGAGCTCGTTTGCAGTGCATATCGAAAAGGCGCAGTACATACCGAAAAGGCGGTGCGGGGATTTGAACTCCGGACATCTGACGTGCGAGGCGAGCGTGTTACCACTACTCCAGCAACGCACGTTGGACGCATCTGAATCCTCACATCTGAACAGGATCAATATTTGTTTGAAACCCACCAAATTTCGCTAGTGGCTAAGTTGTCGACAAATACACTCATTTGCATTTCAACTGGGTTTTCACGGAAGACTCAACCGAACCTCACCTTCAGGATATATTTAAGCAAGTGAATGTGCTGCACAAAGGCCGCCTCACGTTTCAGTTGGTACGGTATTCAGCAACCTTGTGAGAAGTTTCCTTTATGAGAACATACCGCGATATCTCGGCACATTCAGTTGCTTAAGAATATCCTGAATAAGTCACCCGTTGACTTGACCATTGTCGAGATCTGTTCAGCTTGCAAACGCTTGCTCTTAAAAAAAACTGAACATTTTGCCTGTGCCGAGCCAGTTTGTCGCATCCGGACTGCACATGAAAACCACCCCGGTTATCGATCGGTCGGCTGGCGAGCTTGCATCGGCCTCATCAATCATGCCTGTCCGTGCTCGTTCACCGATAAGTGAGCAATGCGCCAGATCCAACTCAATTAGCCTGTCTATACCACACTCCTAAGAGGACCTGATTCAACGTGAACTCGTGATCGCCTGACCCAGTTGCAACGGTATGTTGTGTCCGGGGCAATACGAGGACTGAGTCCGTGATTCGTAGTTGCCCACCCACAAACCCGCAACGTCTGTTGCGGGCAACACCATGTACAGTTAACAAGACACCATCATCAGATGAAAGAACCGCGTACTTGTCGTACAGTAGTTGCGGCTGCCAGAGGTTCCACCACCGATGATTTGGGGAGATGGGTTAAGTATCTGTGCACTGGAAGCAGGAGCTGATAAATTGGTGCTGTTACTGGATATTTAAATGGGAGAATTGGGAAGGGAGCTATGCATCGAAGGTAATAGCTTGGATGCATGAGCGCGACTAGGCCATGTCTGACAATGTCTCTAAGCACTCATGTGTCCCAATTGGGGGTCCCCATCCAGAGAAACGGCGATCACCATCCAAGCTGAGTTTGGTGTTGATGGCTTACACACTTCACTGTCAAGTCATTGTTTGACCTCCCCTGGGTCATTCCAACCCTTCGCGTGGTTCTGCAAAAAGAACACTTCGAGGGGTTCGGTCGACTAACCGGTGTTCACACCGGGAAATGCTCCGAAGACATCGATGGTCAAACACTGGAAGTCTCTTGACTTCTTAGGCGCGCAGCGGCCAGGTTTCTGACCCGTATAGCAATACGGATCGCACAACCGCATAGTAGACTCAATCCTGAACGGATAAGCTGATGTCACGCCTACACCGCATGTGACGCAGGTTCACAAAAGCTGCTCTGGCCTTCCAAATCCGGATGGAAATATCATCTTTCGTGAGACCACCGGGACTGATACAGCTGCCCAGGTAAACAAATTTGTCCATCACCTCAAGTGGCTCATCCGCAAGCATGAGGCTAGGGTTCGTAGTGCAGTAGCACTTTACACTTTGCAGGTGTGAAGCGGATGCAAAACCGTCACACAGGTTTATTTAGATTATTTAATATCGTTTGAATTGCCATGGCATCAGATCCAAGAAGAGCTATGTCGATGTAGGTGGGCGGACGCCCTGGGAGCACTTCGACCCCACTGGTTTGCAAATGAGTGTCTATTCGCTAATGTCCAACTCTATTTAGTGTCCGTTTGCACCGGTGAACCGTAATTGCCAAGCCTTTTGCTCAAGTAATCGAGGACGGATGGGAACGGAGAGAACATTGCGTAGAAGAGGAAAATTGTCTGTATTTAGGTGGCTCAAGTCAGTTGTCTTTAATCAGCGATATGTGAAGTTACTTCCGATAAGGTCGCACCTCTCCGCCATGCACCCGCTATCACCAAATCGATCAATGAGAACTATCCCAAAGTTTGTCAGTCAACAGCGGCCAGAACAAGAGGTTTACAGTCTTTTCCATCACAGTCAAAGATGAATAAAACGATGAAACATGCGTGAAACGCCAAAATTTGAGATGAAATGTAAACGTCTCCATCACTGAATCACTGCCGCTTCAACAAGCGGTGGTTTCAAAGTGTCCCACTCAGGCTCCGGAAGGATAGACCAATTCGGTGAACCGGTTGTCATCCGTTTGTTTGGATGGCTGAAATCCTCCACTTCGCGCCAAAAGTTCACGTCTTCGCTCAAACCGGCCAACAACAGATCAGCTGACAAGTTCGGGTAATGGATTGGATAGGGAGCGACATGCAAGCCGCTTGAATGTTCAATAATTGGTCGACTAGCCATGTGCAGCCCTAGACGACTGTCGCTTGTGTTATGAATCCTCAACTGGCGACAGGCGAGGATGAAGTCACAACCCACGCAATTCTCGATCCACACTGAACCAGCCACCGGGTAGGTGTACACGCGACATCGAATAAGACGTCGAGCGATAAGGTTACCACAAACACCTTGGACATGCACCGTGCAATCGGTCAAATCAGCCAGGTACACCGACTGACCAAGCAGTGAATCACTGCCTCCGTGAGATGCAGATTTGGGAAGCAGTAGCGTCTGAGGACCCTCACAGTTTGTCCAACTGTAGTTGGCATCAAAACGGCACAGAGATTGAAGTTCCTGCCCCAGTGTCTCCTTGCTTTTGTCAGGGTGTGATTGTGGTTGGACGGTCGAAGAAGGAACAGATTTGGGTTTGCGGGAGAACGCGAACTTTTTTGTGGGTAGCAACTGTTCTCGTTTCGCCTGGAATTGGCTGTTGAGGTTCTAAAAGGGTAGCAATAACAGAAGGATAACAGGTCAAAAGAACAGTTTTGACGTAAAACCAAGTGGGAATCAAAGTGTACAACCTTGTCGTAGATTCTGGACTATTACGGCGAATAAAGCTTAACGACAGACCGACGAGAAACAGGAATTTTATACTACGGAGAGTTGGACATCGGAAACCAATAAGGTGAGGGACTGAACGCAAACTGAACCACAATGAAGAGAACTTGATACACAAAGTTTTAGAATCTTAAGACTTGGAAATCGACAATAAGTCGACTATTCGACCTGGTGTACGAGCCAGGTATCAACCGACAATATTACTAAAAGACGATATAATTCGCGTACTCGGATGATAAGAGATAGGAATGAAACAGAGTAGTCTTTCTGATTATGAAGCTGGGGAACTTTGCACACGTACTCATCACGTGATATCCACGGTTACGAGAATACCCATGGGATCACAAACGAAAATGTCGCTTCATAACAATGTGACCTTGGGGACAGACGTGTCCTTTGGCAATGTTTCAGGTCGAATCTCGAAACAAATCGCTTCGCTAATTAGGCACTGCCACAACCAAGAAGTCCGACCCGCAGGCGATTGGCAAGAAGGTAGGACAGCTTGCCGAAAGTGTAAACCCAACACTTAATTGATCCAGTTCCTGCCTGATGCCGGTTACTAATGACGCGTCGTAATACTTTGCACACGTACTCATCACGTGATATACAGGGTTACGGTCAGAAAACTAGATTACGAGAATGCCCGTGGGATCATAAACGAAAATATTGCTTCATAGCAATGTGACCTTGAGGACAGACGTGTCCTTTGGCAATGTGTCAGGTCGAATCTCGAAGCAAACCGCTTCGCTGGTTAGGCACTGCTACAACCAAGGAGTCCAACTCGAAGGCGACTGGTCGGAAGGCCAGACAGCTTGCCGGTGCAGCATCAAGGCGAGGCCTGTTTGGCTGAAAGTGTAAACCCAACACTTAATTGAATTAGTTCCTGCCCGATGCCGGTTACTAATGACGCGTCCAGAGGGTGTCGTAACCACCATAATGGAGTCACCCCAAACACTTTGAATACGACTCGTTGCACAGGTGTTTTTTTACCTGGTTTTGGGCCACTTCATTCACATTGTGAACCTTTGGTGGTTGTTTTGACCGGGACACCAGCTTAGAAGGTTCAGACTGAGAATCGAGCGGAGGTATCATCATTATTACAAAGTGTGTCGAAATACTAGTGGCACAGGTGCGCTCATTGGTTGCTGATTAGTTCACCGAGCTTGGCAATTAACTTTTCGACACCAAACGGTCAGATACCATCAATGAATGATTGGCCGCTCACTCAAGAACAAATAAATTTTCGCCAGTGTCAGCCATAGAACTAAGTGAAAAGTTACACAATGATTGGGACGGGTGTCTAGTTCCCAACGATGCGCTACAAGCAGTCGGGAGAGCCTGGTGGGAAGTCATTTCTAGGGGTGAGTCCAACCTCCTTCAGTTCACTATATGCACAAAACCCTCGAACAAAAGACTGGAGCAAGAATCCGAACGAAGGGAAGGTAGAAAGCATTGGTCACGAATTGCACTTACCTTTAGTTCTAACCGCGCCTGCTCGGAGTCAAAAGAAGTCAGATAGAGAGAGGCGTCGTTCAGAGACTTCTGAAGTTCCTCGATACGGCCCACAGCTTCGTCCAAAATCTACAAAGCACATTGCGGAAGCAACAAATTAGCAAACCGACAGTGCTGATTTGAGTTTATTAAGAGTAAATTAGGGTACAGCGAAATACGCTCGTTTGAAAACAAATTTGGTTTTGCGAGAGACTCAACTGGAACCCAGCTGAATCTCTCGTTCACGACGTTTTTAAGAGAACTGAATGTGCTGCACCAAGCCACCTCATGTTTCAGTTGGTACGATATTCGAGATATCGCGATACATAGTATAGACGTAATACACTACTGAGGAGGGAAGACAGTTGATGCAAACTAAATTGGCGTCCATACAGGTACGCCTATAGGGTTATTATGACTACAACGAAGTGAGAATTAGGCTTGTGGAGACATTTCATCTTGGCGAAGCTGCTGTGCAGTTATCTTGACCATCAGTCCACGAAGACACATGCAGCGTGTCAAATAAAAAGGGCTTAAATGTTTATTACTAGTATTATTATCGTTCAGCTGTAATCCCTTCTCGGTGCCTAGCTGTTATGCCACCTGAAGAAGGCACAAGGGCTTGGATACAGCTAGGTTGCCTCAGTGTAGACAGGAGTGGTCGAGATGCAGAGGTCGGGTTCGAACCAAGGAGCTATCTCGAGCACAAAAGTATGGAGGGACTTCAGTATTTTGCCTCCTATTCTTGCCCTAGGCCATACTAATCTTCTCCGTATCAAATCAGTTTCAACATGAGTAACGTCGAAGCGGGTACGGATTAAAACGTGCAAATACATTGGCCATCAACTGTTCAGGGCACATCGCAATACGAAGCAAAACCCACACAACAGTCATTAACGAGGTAATCGCATAAACACGAGTAGCTGGATTACTAATCCGGATGGCCCTAACCATCCTGTCTCAAACGTGGCATTCTCCCCGTAACATCCAACATAGTTGGTCCCAGGACAAAAAAGGGAAAACAGATGGTCAAGAACAATCAGCCGAGGGGATGACAACCGCAAACAACGAATCGATTCGGACAATCGGGA